TCCCTACACACATGCACTCTTCTAGTCTTCTTCCAAGTAACAGCAAAGTAAAAAGTCCTTATAAAGAAGAAGAATTTGTTTCTATTTCTTTAATAAAGCGTACTTATTAGCCAGATGTATCAAAGAATCACCCAGCTCAAGCAACAAAATAATACGTCTCTATAGAATGTATGTGTTTGTCGCACTACTCAAAAACAAAGGCATTATCCTTAACTAAAGTATGCCATAATATGACCTTGAGGTTCACGGCCCTAACAAGTCAGAGTGACCTTTTGGTATTATTCGAAAGTACATTCTACGCTTCTAACATCACGAGAAATAGATAAAGGCCGTCTATAAGCCCCTCACATCCTTCAATAAATCATAAAATTTACATCAAATAGGTATGTAACAAAAAGAGAGGAGTGCAATGGAGTACCTTGTACGACCCAAGCTTTCGAGCTCTGCGGGATGCATCATAGAGAAAACTATCATCTATAAAGACACAGCTCTCTCCAAGCTTCGCCTCATCACTCAAGTCAATAGTTTCCAGGCCAGAGTCGGCAACAATAGCACTGGAGTCATCTGAACATCATTTAGAAGAGAAGCAAGATGAGCAATAACAGATGGATAAAAATATGCACCATACTCTTGTCAAATTATCAATGGCTTTGTTAGACAAGTTGTTTACATACCATTTTATGCATGTTTCACATAACAACTGTCTCTTCAAACAGATAACAGGTTTCTCATCTCTTTAAAGCATCATCATTACAGAGGCGAGTTTACTTTCAGTCGACATGTGATTTATTGTTAATATATACGTTACCAGATAGAACAAAATACATGTTTCTCTAGAAATAAACTTCATTTTTAGGTCCATTAAGATTAATATCTTAAGATACATGGACAACTAATCATTCGACATCGTCCATTTAATTCCCCTATAGATGTAAAACCTAAACCTCACCTCCAAGTAAAATAGCAGTTACTTGGAAAAGTAAGAACCGAGAGGAAAATCTAATAGAAGTATGGAAGAAGCCTAAGAGAGAACCGACGACAATTCAAGCCTTCACTAGAAAACATGAGAATGATAAAAACATAGAGGATAAGTAAGTATTACAAGGCTGGTCATTGAAATAAAGATCTATAGTTGGTATTGTAAATAAGAATTTAAGAACAAACCATTTGATTCCAGTGACAGGTGACTACAGGAGAAAGCAAGTTGCTTCTCTATTGCTCTGTCTTTAGTAGACATAGTTGAAGCTGGTGTAGATGAAAGGAGCTGTCTACGACTATCAGAGACAAACTCTTCTGCAGATGAGATATCAGATGAATATCCAGGAGTATAGGTGGAATCCCTCGAGATGGAACTACTAAAGGAAATAGTTCCTGTTCCTGTTATGGTTTCTTCACCAGATACAACAGAGACAGCAGTTTCAGACAGGTCACTCGAAGCACCAAAATCACACCCTCCATCATCACCCAGAATATCAACTGGTGATGATGCTTCCAATGATTCTGCAACACCTTGAGAATTTAGCTCCAACCGTTCATCTGAATTTTCATTTGTCAAAACATTGATTTTACCGGGTGCCAATATAGAGTCAGACTTTTCATGGCTATCCATGGACATTGCATTTTTTAATTCACCCGCATTCTCATGTCCAGTGGATATATGACCTAGCTGCTTCTCAACATGACCAATTGCACTGATCGGCACTGGTGATTGCTTTACCACAGCATCTGATGAAGTTTCTGCCATACTTATCACTGATTTATTATCTCCACAGCTACCTATGGCGGCATCTCCTTCTGGTGCCATTGCTTTAGTTTCACAGTTTACAGGATCCACTGAAAGAGGGAAAAAATCTTGGACAACACCAGAACAAAGTTTCTTTAAAGCTCCACCCATGGCGTGTACGTGGTCTTCAACATATTTAAATGTATCATCCAATGGTCCAACTGCATGCTCCTCTCCAGAATCAACATCATTGCTCAACTTTGAGTTTTCATTTGAGGAAACATTACTTTTCCTGGCTGCTAATATAGAGTCTGGATCTTCATGAATATCTTTGGACGTTGCATTTCTAAGTTCATCTTCATTATGGTGTTTAATAGATATGTGACCTAGATCCTTATCTGCATGATCAACTGCATCAATTTCTGCTGGTGATTCTTTTGATTCAGCATCCGAAGAAATTTGTACGATATTCATCACAGAGTTATCACATTCATCGTTACTATCTGGAGCTGCTGCTTTAGCTTCATATTTTACAGGATCCAGGGAAAGAGGAAACAAATCTTGGACAACACCAGAACAAAATTTCTTGAAAGTTCCACCGACGGTATGCACATGGTTTTCAACGTATTTAAATGTATCCTGCACAAGAGAGAAATTCAATCATACGAAACGATATAAAAACTGCAAGCCCACAAGTTCAAGCAAGGATCCCTCCTTAACCTTTAGAGAGATACAGCTTTTTATTTCCATTTTGGACGTAGACGGGAAAAAATAGTACATTAAATATGGAGAAAATTAAAAAAGATATGAATGTCAACAAAAATTTACCACGGCAACTTTTAAAAGGAATAAAAAAAACAAAACAGAGAGAAATAGATATACTTTAAGAAATATGAACAAAGCCATTCATACCTGAATCATGATATCACTGACGACCTCTGGAACTATTCCTTCAATCTTATGGTAAATGTTTCCAGTCCAGTTCATACCATCACTTTTTGAATCCTTCATGGATAAAAAGCTTCACCTACATTCAAATCAAATCAAGTAATGTGAAAAACTTCGATAGCTCGGGTAAACTTAATATCACTGCTTCAGAAAACTACATGTCAGAAGATTACAGGATTAGTTTGCATAGCAGAAAATATCAACGCAAAAGCTATAAAAGAATACGATGAGAAAGAGAGAGAGGCATGATTTTTCCTATCAGCAAGGTTTACCAAAATAAAGCAATTCTTTCATTCTAGTAAATCCCATAGACAAAACTCGAATTTCATTGAACTAACAGCAATAAGAAATTGAAGATTAATGGAAGATGAGGCAACAAGTTTCCTCATAAACAATAATGATAACGAAAGTCGAAACAGTAAACCAGAGACGGTCCAAGAGTCTCAAAAGCCAACATCTTAAGTGGGTAAGGAAAGAATTCCCAAGAGCATTATAACAAATATAATCAGTAACAAAAAACTGCAGAAGTTAGATTCTAGAATAGCTGAAAGCCCACCTGATGAGTAGAACCAAGAAGAAAATTATATCAAATAAACAAATTGATCATAATCATATTGATCATAATTTTAAAAAAAAGGAATGATCCTTTACGGTTTCCAATTCCAAATAAATATATACATAGTAATCGCCAAAGCAATTTCTTTGTAGCCTCAAAAGGAAACAAATAAATGCAAGTGATAATTAAAGCTCCAATTTTGGCATAATCATAAATCCATTACAACTTTTTCCATACAAAATTCACATAAAAACTCGTAGAAAAATTGAAAATGCCATTTTCTTTCCAGAAACAATTCTTTGAAATTTCATCAAAATTTAAGGCAATTAATATAACACGATCATACTGAAAAAAAAAAAAAAAAAAAAAGAAAGAAAAAAAAAAACTCCGTCTTTATCCAACAAACTCACACATATAAGCATTAAATACAGAAGGTATATTTATATATACATATACATGCATAAATATAAGCCAGTTTCTTCGGCTGGTGATAAAGCAAAGAAATTCGTGAAGAATTTTCAAATAAATGAAAATATTATGAAGTGAAGAAGAAACAGGAAAAAGGATCATATTGAGGATTACCGGAAACCTGGAGGCGCCGGTGAGGGTGAAAGAGGAGAAGTCGACGGTGAAGCAAAGTTCATGAGCAAGGCGAACCGGTGGCTGGTTGTGGTTGATGACTTTTGGTACTAATAACTCACTCTGGCTGCTTGCAGGGGTTTTGGGAACTTCCTTTTTTTTTTTTGGAGAAAATATTAGGGTTTAATGATGATTATCTTTTCAAATTAGTAATTAGATAATTCTGTTGGGTATTAAAAAAATCCAGATTAATAATTTTAGTAAAGAAATTAGACGAGATAAAGGTTTTTCTTTTTTTTTTTCACTTTGAATTTCAAATTTATATAATAAAATTATCTAAAGTTCAAACTGTGTATATATATGGACGTTTTATAGGGACGTTTTGTATATGGAATCTTTTTTTTTTTAAAGATATTATAGTTATTTTATGCTTCAGTTTTAGAGAATGTTATACATTTTAGTTTTTTTTTTTTTTTTTTTTTTTTTTTTTGAAAGCAAACATAGTTTTTAGCTTGTATCTGAATTTCTCTAGAAAAAATTTCCTAAAAAATAAAAAAAAAAAAAAAAAAAATTTTTTTTTTAAAAAAAAAAAAAAAAAAAAAAAAAAAAACTATGTTTATAAAATGAATACTAAAATCTTTTTGGAGATATTTATGGTCTTTGTGTTTCTCATTAATTCTGAGATAATAATTCGTGTGTTTGGCCCTTTGTTTTGTTTTGTTTTTTTTTTTTTCTCATGTTCGTTTTTGTTTATGTTCCATTTTAGTGCCTTTTCGAGCCCATATTCCTTCGAAGTGGTGGTTGTGTTTTCTTATATTGTTGGTCTGCTTTCTCAATGAAACAAAAAGAATTTTTCACAAATTTGAATAATTTCTTGATTTCATACCAAACAGATTTTAGAATTATTATTATTATTATTATTTTTTTTTTTTGCTGAAAGAATTTAAATTTAAATAAAGTAAAAGAGAGGTTCTAGATCGTATATTTACTATTTAAAAAAAAAAAAAAAAAAAAAAAAAAAAAAAAAAAAAACTGCTTTGTGCTGAATGAAAATTTTGAGGAAAAAGAGAGGATTGTTACCTGGTCATAAATTTAAATTTCAACTACACTATAGTTTGGTAGAAAATACATTTCATAGAATATTGCAAGTAAAACAAAATTTATTAACACGTAAATATCAAGTGGAAAAAGAATCCATCTTTGCATAATGCACAGAACTGTTTTAAGTTTTTTACTCGTTACCTTTTGCATCTGTGATGAGAATCTCATCTTAAAGATATTATTGGGGAACTATTGACAAATTTGCCAGTTTGTTCATCATTGAAGAAAACGGACAAAACTGCCAATTTGCATACTTGAATTAATTTAACATAATACCCACATTGGTAAGCGAGGAACTTTTATTCAATTTCATTAAATTGTTTAAATTTACACATAAATTTTAGTACCAAATCAAAGGGCTTTGCCAGCTCCACTTCTATAGATTACATTCCAAAGAAGCTTGCTTTTAAAATAAAATAAAAATAAATAAATAAAAAAAACCCTCACCCTCACACACACCCCCCCAAAAAATAAAATAAAATAGAATAATAATATAATAATGCACGTTGACTTAAGTCTTGTAGAAAACTATTTCAGAGAGAGCAACAAAGAAGCTTGCTTTTAAACAAAAAAAAAAATTAAAAAAATAAATAAACTCACCCTCACACACCAAAAAATAAAATAAAATAAAATAATAATAATGCATGTTGACATAAGTCTTGTAGAAAGCCATTTCAAACCCCACAAACGAACACACGTTAGTAGCGACTAATATATGGCACATACCATTCCTCAAAAAAATAATTGATTCATAAAGCTACCAAATGGATGAATTGGCATGAAAAGGCAATGGCTAAATTGTATCTTAAAATCAACAATCAACAATATGTTCTATAGTGTAATAAACAACGCAACAGAAGACTCTAAGGACCAGTTCTATAAAAATTACTCTTAAAAAATAAAAGGACAAATCATTTATTTATTTATTTATTTATTTTGCTAGATAAGCCCCCTTGGCACCCCCAAGTTTTGAACTAGGGACCTCCTATCCAAAACTCCCCCTCCCACCATCTGGCTAGCTTCCAATTAGTTATTTTGTTTCTTTTCAACAATAAATTATTTGTTAATTTATTGTTGAGAACAAGCAAAATAACTAATTGGAAAGTTCTTTTCCTATCAGATGCTTCAACACAAGCTTTCCCTTAAAACAGCTTATTAATTTCCAAAATCCTTGAAATGATTCAAACTATTATGCAAATCAGGAAATAAACACGGGTGATGGGACCGTAGCAGTTCTATGATTTCATGTGCAGGCACAAACACATAACTTACGCAAATTAACTTTTTGGATTTTCATACAAACAGTGATGGGTTTTCGAAGCAAAAGAAAAAACCAGAAACCACATGTGTACAAATACAACACTTTGAAGGAAGCAAGAAGTTTTGGAACACAAGGAATCTAATTATCCATTACTTTCAAGGGATGGAGGCATCTAATTACTCGATCATTTCATATGTTTATTGACTGTGAGAGAAAGAAAAGAAAAGGAAAGTTCAAAGAAAATAAAAAAAACAAAAACCCACGTTTAATCAAACCCGAGCATGATGGGGTTGAAAGAAAGTCCAAGCGTCCAACACACTTAAGCATCTAGGAGCATCATGCATCATCGTTTCAGGAAAGTAGATAATAGTAACGCAACCACTTAACACGGCCAAGAGTAAAGATTACAGAAAGGATGGTGTGCCAAAAGTTTGTATGCAGTCGTTGAGCATCACGAAGCAAAATCATAAAAGGATATACAGAAAGCAAAACAGAGAGGATGATGCTTTGGCTGCGAGCAGAATATATGAGAGGCAGAATGAAGCGAAGCACAACAATTAGTGGCAATCAACTTAAATCTATCACCACACGAAGAGAATATATAATTGAGACCATTTCATGGATTCAGCACAAGGCATCTCAAAATGAAACCGAATCCATAACTCAACAACAAAATCGCCTTAAAAAAAGTTCGGCACGGTTCCCTTCGTTAGGGGACAACAGAGCTATTTATCATTTCCCAGAGTAAATTTTTCCAATCACAGAAGAACCTACTTAAACCACCCCATGCTTTAATTAGCTAGCTGCTTGCTCAAGATTCTCCATTAAAATAAAAACACCAGCATAGTAAATCCAGAATAGAAAGAGTAAGCTTGGAACTCCCGCGCATGGCATGATGGAGTATCCAAAACGAATCCAACAAAATTGGCAATAAAAAATATACTCAGAGTGGTTCGACATGTTATAGGACAGCTAAACAAAAGAGATACGCCAGCAAAATGTACAATTTTTAAATTTCAGCAAACACAACTCGAAAAGCTTCATAACGTAAAACATCAAATCATCATAAGATAAAACTTGTTTCACATGAATACAAAAATGCTAAAACAAGGAGAAAATATGTCAAGACTTATATCGCTAAACTATGTTACTGATAAAAGGCCGGATGGCACAAAGGTTCCAGGTAGAAATACATAAATATATATATATATATATATATATATATAATTTAGTCATTTTTTCTACCAATACTCAAAATGAACAACAACTCAAAACGGCAGACCAAGTGAAGAAGTGGCAAGCTAATACAATCATCATCTAAGCAGAACATATTGTCTGCGATCACCAGAACCACAAAAAGCATCTGCGCCCAACAAGCTGTCACAAACCTGAATCAAACATCCATCAACTCAACTCATCATTCTATAGAATCTTAAAGCAGACTAACATGTAATTCAAAACAGATCACATGAAAATTTCACGATAAAGCTCATATATTCTAGTAAACAAAAACAGAATATAAAAAATGCATATTATGAATTCAAAACATTCGGATTATAATTATCTTAATCTATTACCAATGCTTCCCAGCCTAATTTAATATCTGGCATATTGATTTAAATTAGATGAATTGAGGGAATTCACGGATTCTATGAACACACACACACACACACACATATATATATATATATATATATACACACACATATATATTAATATATATATATATATGTATAGAATCACCTGGCACAGGCAGGAAAAAAAAAATAAAGAACGAATGTGCAAACAATAACCATTGAAATTTTGAAAATATGATAACCATATATATGTTCAAGAAAAAAGATCCAGTAGGAGATGAATGTCTGTACTAAAGATGAATAGTCTAAAATAATACTTAATAAATATATATATATATGTATGTATGTATGTATACACATATAAAGTTATTATCAAGCTGTTTGTTCGGCTCATCTGATGTTGGAACGGCACGTCAAACAGCATTGTATTGTTGGTCTTCTTGTTGACTGAGTGACTGATTTGTTTCTGCTGATAATTCTGATCAGTTCAGAGGATTAATGGAAAGCTCTAAAGTCTAACCCATGAACTACTCCATATAAATAGTCATTTGTGTGTTTTATCTTTAAACATACCAAAATTGTCATTGTTATGACGGGCTGCCATCGTTTGCTCGCCGTTACTATATTGCTATTCACTTTTTTTTTTGCTAACCATAATGCTAGTTACAATTAGACCTAGTGCAAGATGCTACTGCTATCAATACGCAACTACATTTACGAAATGAAAATGATATATCTTTTTGATAGAAAAATAAAAATGGATTTGTTAGAAAATGTCGTTTATTTTCTTGCATGAAAACAACCATATGTAGCAGATGTGGCTTCTTTTTCTTAGCCACCATTGTCCCATATAGTCATACAAGATGAGAAACTAAAAGCTTCTAACAAATAACTAAGAAAAACAGCTCTTGTGACAAAAATCTTGATCTATCTGAAGATAGCAATCAAATGAAGAGATCATTTCAAAGAGCTCAGAGAGCTAAAACCCACTAATTCCACATCAACTAGTCAAAGCAAAGGAGCATGATTTTACGTCAAAAGACTCGAAACATGTCAGATTTTATAAATTTGGACAAGTGTGATATGAAACATCAGTATGCAATGTAAAAGCTGTCAATAATATGATAAAAGTAAAGAACCCGAGGATAATCTAAAAAATTGTACTTTCTTTCTGTTGTTGTGGTGAGAGTTGTTGTTATGAAAATACACCGTAAAACCAAATCAGTTGTATATAAACTTTAACTCGCAATATACAAAGATAAATTATAAACAGAAGAAGATGTGCCAGCCACATAGATCAAACAAGGAATTCTTGTATAGGAAAAGGCATCAGTTTGGTCCATGTATAACAGTAAAAAATAAAAATAAATGCAGATTCTTTGACAGTATTTACAGGAGTTACAATGCAACTTATACCACACTCATTAAACCAAAACCAATAAGATGCAAACTATGTTAGGCCAAAATACACCTATTTTCAAATTCGCAGATCACACAATGAAAGGATATCTCAGAGAACATTCGATCACCGAATATGCCAAAAAAAAACACTAAACATCGCCAGAAGATAAAAGATAAACATAAACAGAACCGCACAATTGCAAATTCAAAATGTAATAGCTTAACATAAACAACAAATTAGCAAAATAAAAGAATATTATGAATGCAAGCACAAGCACTATAAAGAGGAGAACCTACAAAGTACGAACTCAAACAAAAGCATGAAAATTTGTGACTTCTTCAGAGAGAAACGAGAAGATAAATAAAGCAGCCACACTACAGTCAAATTAAAACATGGAAAGACCCCCCAAAAAGAAAAAAGCAAGAACAAAGAGCACCTAAAATTGAAGAATCATGAAATAATATTACCTCAGTAGTAAGGAGGCGGGTACATTCCTCCAGGTGGAACTCTTAGGACCGATGATGCTCCGGGTTGCTGGTGGTGCGGACCGGGATACGCAGACGACGATGACAAGCCATGATGGCCACTCTCCGGATACAATGCAGACCCAGCACCACCCGCACCACCCGCACCTGCACCACTTAATCCTCTACCAGGACCTCCACGGCCATAACCCGCCGAATTCGGACCTCCATACCCACCATAAGGCCCACCAAGCCCCGCACCGTACCCACCAGCAACGCCTATCGACGATGGCCTTTGACCAGCCACTGAACCCAACCCCAGCGGTCCTCCAACAGAAGAATTCAAACCATGATGATGACCCATAGCCGGCTGCGGTCCACCCGAAAACCCAGTGTAAGGCCCAATACCGCCAGGCCCGCTGAACTGGCCCGACAAAGAAGCCGACGGAGCATTACCCGGACCACCCGCCGCCGGCACCTGAACTGCGTCCTGCGAAACCCCCTGCTTCCCCTTCCTCCCGTCGACGGCCAATTTGCAATTCAATTGCCGCCCTTCGATCGTCTTCACGGGATGAACCAGCGCCGCCTGCGCCCCCTCGGGGGACTTGTAGACGAAAAACGCGTAGCCCCTGCATTTCCCCGTCTGCTTATCGAACCCTAGCGGACCCTCCTCGATCGCTCCATACACCGAGAAGTGGGCCAAGAGCTTGTCCGAAGCCATGTCGTACGGCACATTGGCAACGTATATCTTCCGAAGCGAGACATCGGCCGCCGAGGCCGCAGGGGCAGCGGGGTTCGGGGCGGAGTTCGAGGCGGAATTTCCCGCCGCGGCGAGCTGCGTGACCGTCATCCGGCCGTCGATCTTCTTGCTGGGCTCCTTGAGGGCGAGGAGAGCGCCGTCCACGTGGCGGAACGTGACGAAGCCGTAGCCCTTGCTCTTGCCGGTGTTCTTGTCGAGAATCACGACCGCCTCCTCGAGCTCGCCGTAGGCGGAGAAGAGGGCGCGGAGGCCATCGGTGGTGGTGTCCCAGCCAAGACCTCTGATGAAGAGCTTCCGCTGGGAGATGTCCCGATCGGCGATCGATCGGACGGCGTCGAGGACGTCCACGTGGCGGGCGACGGCGTCCTGGAGGATGTCGAGAAGCTGATCGGGGGTGAAGTGCTCGATCAGCTTCCGAGCGTCTTGAGGGGAGAGGGACGCCGGATGGTAGTGGTGGTTGCCGCCGTTGGTGGCGGCGGAGGCGGATACGATGCCGTTCTCCTCCATCTTGCGCTTCTTCGATGGGTCCATGTTGTGGAAGAAAAAAGGTCTAGAAGATTCCGATGATAAAACCTAACCCTAGAGTATGGTGAGAGAGGAAATGAAGAAGAGCGAAGAACTGACCTGACAGGGAAGTTGGGACTTGGAGTGAATCACAGATCTTGCCAAATATAGGAAATAACTAACTCCTTACTGTGTACATTTCACTTTTCCTATAATAAAAAGTTCTAAAAAAAAATTAAATTTAAATTAACAAGTTAAACTGGCCTAAGTCACTTTCTAAATGACAATTTGGTTTTAAAACTAAATCCGTTCTAAACTTTTATTATTTGCATAATGTGGCCAAACGTTTAATTTTTACATTTTTGAACTCAAATAATACCATAATTGGCAATGACGTTCATTCAAACGTTTAATTGTGTTGAGTGACCTTTTTCAATCTCCTCTTTTTATAAATGGTTGAAATTTTTTTATTTTACGAAAATAATCATTTTGTTTACATAAATCAATTAGTGATTGATCAATAGACACCAATCAATTAGTGATTAATCCACGGTCAATCATGATTGATCAATTTATTATTAATTTATCAAAAGTTTATCATTAATAAACATGTAATTTATTAATTAAAATTGATTAATTACTAATTAATTTTAATTAATTATTAACTAATGTTGATTAATAATAAATGATAATCGAGTTAATTAATGATAAACTTGAGTCAATCAGTGATTGATTGCTGCGTCAATTAATGATTAACCACTAAATTAATGAAAACGATTATTTTTGCTTTATAAAACTTCGGCCATTTATGAAAAACATCCTTCAAAAAAGACCATTTGTATTGGAATCCCCTTAAAAAATATATGTAGAACATGTATTTTTTAATACAAATTTAATGGCTGAAAATATAAAAACAAGAAGTAATTCATTTCTTCTAGTCGTACTAGATGAACTTAAGACAAATAAACTTTTCATTACTATATAAAAGAGTATGAATGCCAAACGCTTTAGCGTTTTGGTCATCCAAAACGCACAGCTTTAGCATTTATTTTTTCCTCCTTTTGGTGGGGGCTTTTTTTTGTCTTTTTATGTTTCTTTTTTTTTCTTTTTGCTAATGATCGTTTTTGTATAAGGCCCATACAAGGGTTCAGGCCCAATAATTATGTCCCGTGACACTGTTAGGCTTGCTTCGTGGACTTAAACTATGCTCGAGAAACTTGTGTAGGCCGTGGTTTGGTGGGCCGGTTTTAAGTTTCGCTTGTGGGTTTTAAAATAAATGAGCTAAGGAATGAATGGGTGATGGAGAATCCAACCCCTAAAAGCCTTGGTTTACCTTTTAAGAGTCTTAGAAGCCCTTTCCTCAGCCTTTTGGAGACTCAAACGTTTGGAATTTAAGTTGTTGAACATTTCCCTCCGACACTAGATGAGCAGTTTTTTTGCTCTGGAGCAGCTTCCTTCGGAGCTGGCAAGGATTTGTCTCCGTAGCAGTCGTTGCTCCAAAGGCGTCGCTATGGACGCCACTGCAGAGACGTCATTACTGATGCCACCATTGAGATACTTCCCATGCTCTAAGAGGCTCCTCTGTGACTGAAGATACCTTTATGCTACTCCTCTGTGTCTGAAGGTCCTTCTCCTGCTCCATGGAGATTGAATGTGTTAGGTGCTTCAGTGACAGTTGTTTAACCAAAAATGGAAGGAGGCGCTCTGGAGTTGGTCTGACACACGTTCAGACCTTCGAGAATATATGCGTCCACAAAGCACCAGACTTAGTCAAACACTCTATGTGCTCCAGACCCAGAAAAGGTCCAATGTCAGAGAGAATTCTGAATTTGGTCTCCAAATACACTCATTTTCGACCAATTTATTTGTCAAAGAGAAAAGCCACATGATGCAGTTGCTCATGAGGGAAATAGTTTGTATGAGCATCTCTCAGGGCGTGATTGTGTGGCTCTGGAGTAACTGCCAAAATCTTTCAAACTTCTCCTATAAATACCACCTTCTATCAACACTTCAAAAAAAAAAAAAAAACATCACTCAAGCAATTCTTGACCATCTGATAAGGTCTCTTCCTTTAAAACTCTGAGTGATCTTCCTTTGAGAGAAACCCTTTTGTATTTAAGGTTATGTGTTCTTCGAGCTTGTGCTCTTTGGGCTCGAAGATCTTCGAAATACGTAGTGAGACTCTGCCCAGATCTTGAGTGTTCATCCTTAAAAAGTCTCAAAACACTTTGTTTGATCCATCCAAACCCTTCTACAGGCTACATTTGAAGCTTCTGAGGTTTCTCAAGAAGTCTAATAATCCGCCTCCGTGACTGGACTCCGCCGCTCCGGAGCACACTTCTGGAAAGCCGTAAAACTTTGTCTGCTGACATTTACTCTCAGATCAACTTATGTTCCTCTGAAGTGGACTTTGCCTCCTTTGTTAAAAGTCCGTAAAACTTGCTCACATAACGACCTGCGCTCCTCAAGAGTAAGATGTCACCAACTCTCCCAAATAGCCTTATCCACAACTTACAAGTCATACAACCTGCACTTGTCCTTGGAGCACTTCTCCAAAGAAGCCTTATTCACACTCTTCGAGTCAAATCTTCATCAACTGTTCGGTTACTCCTCCCACCATACTTCATCCATGCGATCTCCATGACTGTATTCGAAGTCCTCCCATGCGTAAGTTGGCGTCTTGGCAAGGTGGCGATAAAGTGGGCCCTAAAATCCATTTTCTTCGGCTTGCTTTGGGCCTAGCCAATCCGCTCTTCTCTGTTGGAGGCCTTACCTTACGATTTCCTCTGTGAACGCCGCGTGTCCAATCTACATCAGCATCAACACCACCAAATTCGGTACTTGAACGTGTATACTTTGTACACGTCGTACTCACCGAATCTACCAAGCCCCAACACTTTTCTTTCCTAAAATTTTATATTCTTTGTACTTACCCTTCTTTTTAACTTTTTTCTTTCATTTACCCCAATTAGTATTTTTCCAAAGGTTATCTTACTTAGATGTTTCTTTTTGGTAGTGCTCTAATATATCGTGTACCAAATGTTATTCACAAATTTCTTTCAACGCACAACTTTGTTTTTTTTTTTTTTTTTTTTGCTTTTGGTGTTTTTTTTTAGCTTTCTATGTTCTTTTTTTTTTCTTTTTCTTTTCTTCCCCAAAATTTATATTCTTCGTACTTACCCTTTTTTAACTTTTTTCTTTCATTTACCCCAATTAATTTTTTTTTTCAAAAGTTATCCTATTTAGATATTTCCTCCCGGTAGTGCTCTAATATACTGTGTATTAAAAGTTATTCTTACAAATTTCTTTGTAATTGTCTATTTGTCCTACTAAAACAAAATTTCAAAAATATGCCCTTACCCTTTTTTTTTTTTTTTGCAACCTTCTGGACCACTACTACCTATACATATAAAAGAACAATCATAGCTCTACTATTCCTTTTTTAGTCATCTAAAACGAGTCGTTTTGGCTCTTTTTTTTTTCCCCTTTGAAAATGGTTTCAGTTCTTTGCTTCTTTCGCCTTTTATATTTCTCATTTTTGTTTCATATTTTTCCCTTTTCAAACACTTGAAAAGAAAAAAACGACTTGTTAGTAGATAACTTAGATTATGGACCATCATATGTTATCCTTTTTCACTTTTTATCATAATCTTAAGGCTAAATCATATCTTATCCAAGTAATAAATGCTAAATCTAAAAATAATAGGTGAAAACTATACTATTTATTTTATGTAGTCATTTATGCATAATTTTGATATTTTTTTCTCCTCTCTTTTTAGTGCAACGGGATTAACCTTATCCCAAAGAGTCCACTCAACCGACGCCTTTGCCTCGCATTTGCAAAGAGCGACTCGGGCTGACTAGAACGTGAGTTTCCAAACCATGTATTCTTTGAATTTTCAATTTCTTTTTCTTTTTTTTTTTCCCTCTTCAGTAACATAACTAAAAGCAAAGTAGCCCGTTAGGTTATCACAGGTCAACAAAACAATTTGGATTACAAAAAAAAAAAAAAAAAAAAAAAAAAAAAAAAAAAAAAAAAAAACTTGGATAAGACCTTGAAACTATAGAGTGATTAAAGAAACACAACGTCAATAGAGTTGGTATTTGGTATTTCAAATATATCCCTTATGTTGAAAAATTGGTCCTTAACAGAATACATAGAAATAGTATTAGATAAATAACCAGACGGCCTAATTTACACGAAATCAATTTAATCTAATACCCACATATGTAAGACGAAAACTTTATTCAATTTCAGCAAAATATATAATTTACATAAGAGTTTTGACACTAAATCAAAGGCCTTTGCCAGCTCAAATTCTATAGATTACATCCCGAGAGAGAGAGAGAGAGAGAGAGAGAGAGAGAGCAGATAAGCTTGAGATAAGCTCGACTATAAACCAGCAATAGGACTTCTGTTCAACCTCTTCCTCTTTCCATCTCAAAAACTCGAAACAAACCCAATATACCAGTATAGTCGTATCAAACACAAAAAGATAATGTATTTCTTCATAGCAAAAAAAATATATTAAAAAAAAAACCACACGCGCAACAGAAAAAAGCCATAAAAGACACTCCAAGAAATCAATTTCAAAAACCCACCAACACAGTAGCTCCTAATCATAGTATAATAGCACATGCCATTTCTCAAATCATTTCAACAACGAACGAGAAAGCCAACTTACAAACGACACAGATTATAACGGAATAGCTGATTTAGAATGAAAAAGGCAATGGCTAGCTAAATTCATTAACATTATGTTCTACGGCGCAATGAACAATGTAACATAAGATTCCAAGAACCAGTTCTACTAAATTATTTTACTGAAGAGAAATAGATGACGTTTCATTAAAAGGAAGCAAAATAAATAATTGGAACGTTCTTTTCCTATTAGCTGCTTCTACAAAAGCTTTCCCACTAATTTAAGACATCATTTTGATTGTTTCAACTATTTAATGCAAAACATGAGTTGGCGGCATTTTCCATAATAATTTTATAGGCGTGTAGGCACAAACACAAAACTTGCGCATTCACTTTTTGGATTTTGAGGAGGCAACAACCATCGACAATCCGTTTTCCCAAGTTTAAGAAAAGAGCAAAGAAATCACAAATGTGCAAATAAAACACTTCGAAGCATGAAATTTTGAAACAACGAGAGAAAACATCCAATTATCCATTCGCTGTAATTTTACCATCAAGAGTAGAGGAGAGAAGTTCCAAGAGGAAAAAAAGAAATACACATGTTTGGTCCAATACAAGCGCTATCTGGTGTAAGAGAGTCTTCACATTTCTGCATCTAGGAGCGTCCTCATTTCGGGAAAATAGATAATAATGACGCGACCACATAACACAGCCATGAGTAAAGATTCCAGAAAACGTGATGTGTAAAAACTGTCATGTAGTCATTCCAGCATCACAAAGCAAAATCATAAAAAAACCGTGTACGCCTCCGCCAACCAAAAACCAGCATTAAAATTCATGTGGAGTAGGTTCTTGGATCTTTATGCAACAAAACTTAAAAGAGATATACAGAGAGAACGAACACAACTCGAAAAGCTGTTACATCAAATCATTGTAAGATAAAAATTGCTTCCACATCAATAAAAACAGCAACAAGAATACACAAATGCTAAAACAAGAAAAAAAATATACATGTCAAAACTTGTATCGCTAAACTATGTTATTGATTAAAAAAAAGAAAGCCAGATGGCTGAGAGGTCCAGGCAGAAATACATCAGCATATATATAATGTACTCTAATCATGTTTTCTACCAACACAGAAAAGCACCACAACTCAAAAGGGCAGACGAAGTGAAGTAGCATGCTAATACAATCATCAAAGTAGAGCATATAGTCTGCAATCACGCAATCACCAGAACCATAAAAAGCATCTGCGCCCAATAAGCTGTCAGAAACCTGAATCAAACATCCATCAGCAACTCAATTCATCATTCCATAGAATGAGAATCTTAAAAAAGACCAAAAACTAAATTGACAAACAGAAATCATTCATATATAAAGTAACTAGAATTCATTGGACCACATTGCTCCCAAGATCAGATGAACACTTCGTGATGAACTTCATAAATCCTAATCAAGAAATAGAGAATCACAAAGCAGGAAAACAAAACAATTAATCAACATGAAACCAATAAACATAGAAAAAAAAATGACATTTATAGCAAAAATATATATGCTAAAAGGAAAAAAAAAAATCTGCAGGAGACGAATATTAGTTGTACTGGAGATCAACCTTCTAAATAATGCTTAATAAAAAAAATTATATATAAAAATACAGAAGGAAAAGCAGCAAACAAGGAACATCTTTTACGCAGCAATAGAAGCAACAATATTTAAGTTATAACAGGAAAATGTGCAACTCGAATATCACCCAGGCATACACACACACAAAAATCAGGCCAAAAGGCTGCAATAACTAATCCCATGCCAGTCTTTCCTACCACTAGTTATTTAACAGGCCTCAAGCCAGACAAAACGAATCTAGTTAATCAAGCCTTTAACTACAGGCGCACACCTAGTACCCATTTATTATTCTAATTAAAGTGTTAAATGTACTAACACATACTTTGTAATGAACCTCAGATCACAACCCAATTTAATGAAACACGATTAAATGCAACCTCAAACAGGATACCATCTCTTCTCAAAAAACTTACCAGAATTAGAAATTTCATTCTGTTTACCAACACTCTTCAGTTATAAACTTGAAAGATGCACAAAGAATCAAAGTGAAACTAGTTTCTCCACTCAAAAACTTAACAGGAAACAAAACACTCAAAAGAAATACACCAATGCAATGCAAAAGCGCAACATACAGATTGACATTTTCATGTAAGAAATAGAAACTTGTACACAGGAAAAATAAAATGCTTTTTAATAAATAAAAGAGTACAAAAGAGTCAACGTCCTGGAGAACATGAGATTGAGAGAACTAGATTCCAAAAAAATACACAAGATTTCATACTCTTGTGGCGGTTATGATTTTTTTTTAATCTTTGTCATCATTGTATCATACAAACTAGATGAGAAATTAAAATCTTCTAACAATAAACTCAGAAAAACAGCTGTTATGACTCGAATCTTGATCAATCTAAAGATATTAATCAAATGAAGAAATCATTTAAAAAATCACACAGAACAAATCAACAAAATCCATAAAGTGGGCGATGGAAACAGTGCGTCAATTTAAGAAATCAAACTATTTTTAATCAGGCAATAATTCTTTTTCTCAAAGTATTAGATCAAACCGTGCCAGAGATTTCATAAAACAGGAGATTTTATAAGTGTGATTTAAAACAGGAGGATGCACTTTGCAGTGCGAAAGCTGTTAATGATAAGAATAAGAACAACAGCAACAACAATAATAAAAGTAAAGAACCAGGAAAAACCTAAATATAAAAACTTGAACTTTCGAACACAAACATATAAACAGAATACACTACAAGAACCAAACAACATAAACAATAGCATAAAACTTTGCAAATTCTTTAGAGAGAAACAAGAATATAAATAAAGCAAGAAAAAGAACACTAAGAACTAAAGAATCATGAAATATTACCTCAGTAATAAGGAGGCGGGTACATTCCTCCAGGTGGAACTCTTGGGATCGGCGACGTTCCAGGTTGCTGGTGGTGCGGATTAGGATACGCAGACGACGATGACAAACCATAATGGCCACTCTCCGGATACCCTCCAGTCGGCATTCCACCAGAACCACCCCCAGCACCTGCACCAGTTAATCCTCCGCCTGCTCCGCTGCCATAACCCGCGGAATTCGGCCCATACCCACTATAAGGCCCACTAAGCCCCGCTCCGTAACCACCACCAGCACCCAGCGAAGACGGCCCTTGACCACCCGGCGGCCCTGCCAACGAGGGGTTCAAACCATGATGCTGATGATGATGGCCAATCGGCAGCTGTGGCACGCCAGAAAACCCGCTGTAAGATCCAATTCCGCCTGGCCCGTTGAATTGCCCGGGCATAGAAGCCGGCGGAGCATTCCCCGGACCTCCCGGGGCTGCCGCCTGAACACCATTCTGCACCGCACCCTGCTTCCCCTTCTTCCCGTCGATTGCCAATTTGCAACTCAATTGCCGCCCTTCGATCGTCTTCACGGGATCAACGAGCGCCGCCCGCGCTCCCTCGGGGGTCTTGTACACGAACAGCGCGTAGCCCCTGCACTTCCCCGTCTGCTTATCGAACCCTAGCGGTCCTTCCTCGACCTCTCCGAAAAGCGAGAAGTGCGCCAAGAGCTTCTCCGGCGTCATGTCGTACGGCACGTTGGCGACGTAGATCTTCCTTTGGGAGACGTCGGCGGAGGCCACGGAGACGGGGTTGGCGGTGGTGTTGGAGGAGGAATTCCCCGCCGCGGCGAGCTGCGTGACGGTCATCCGGCCGTCAATCTTCTTGCTGGGTTCCTTGAGGGCGAGGAGAGCGCCGTCCACGTGGCGGAAGGTGACGAAACCGTAGCCCTTGCTCTTGCCGGTGGTCTTGTCGAGAATCACGACGGCCTCTTCGAGCTCGCCGTAGACGGAGAAGAGGGCGCGGAGGCCATCGGTGGTGGTGTCCAACCCTAGGCCCCTGATGAAGAGCTTCCGGTGGGCGATATCCCGGTTGGCCGATCGGACGGCGTCGAGGACGTCCACGTGGCGGACCACCGCGTTCTGGAGGATGTCGAGGAGCTGGTCATGGCTGAAGGACTCGATCATCTTCCGAGCGTCCTCCAGGGTGAGGGACGGCGGGTAATTGTCGGCGGCGGCCGCCGATACGACGCCATTCTCCTCCATCTTGCGCTTCTTCGATGGGTCCATGTTGATTGTTGTGGAAGAAAGAAGGTCTCGAAGATTCCGATGATAAACCCTAACCCTATCGCTAACCCTAACCCTAGGCTTGTAAGACTTGAGAGAGGAAATCAAGAAGAGCGAGCGGACTAGGGAAACTGGGGGAAAGTGAATTTTGAGCTTGGATGGGACAATTTGGATTAAATAGAAGGCTTATTTGCACTGTTGTCCCTGAATTTCTCATTTATTGCTAAAAACGCCCTTTGAAAAAAATGCATTTAAAATTTGACCTCTTAAGTTTAAATATGTGTGACAAAGGCCCCAATCGGAAAAATAATTGAGAAAAAGTATATGGTTTGTCATGCTTTTTTGTAAGCCTATTATTTATGTTATTTTAAATAATTGAGTGTCATTGTGACTTTTTATTTTCTCTTTATTAATTGAATGACGACTACTTATTTTCAAGTAGAGTGACATAAAGAATTCTCAGGTTGAATTCTCTATCACTCATTTACTCCTTAGCGTAACTATTTTAAAAACACTCACTAGGACTTAAAAATCATATTAGACTAAGAAATAAAGAAAAAATAGAGAATTTATCTTTGAGAGTGTATAAATTTAAATATTTACTCTTTACTCTTGATAAATACTCTTTTATTAGTGTAATTATTTAACTAAAAAAGTTATGAATCAAAAATAAAAAATAAAAATTCTGACTCATATATTTTTAAAAAATATTTATCAAAATTACTCAAAAATAAATGAATCGATTCAATTGCTCAAGGCCCACCAAATCAAAACCCATATAAATTCTCTGAGTTTGAATTTTAAACGAGTCTAATCGTGTTGCATAATAAAATTATTAAGCGTGGACTCTCCGATGGCGTTATACAAAAACGTCCATCAACAGATGTCATGCCACTTGATTTGTTCTATGTGAGCACTAACCAATAATGTACCTTATCCGACAAAATCCAAGTAAGCCTTTTCCTCTCACTTACAAAAGATGTTTGGTTGAGAATACAATCAATGGCAAAGTACCCTAGTAGGTTATCACCGGTCAACATAATAACTCGGCTAGATTTATCGTGACTTTCACTATAAAGTCGATATTTGTTGGTCCATAACGTTTGTGTAACTCAAAAAATAACAATAAAGAAAAATATTTTCCATTCGTTCATTCAACAAAACACATGCTAGTATTACATTCTCTTGCCCCTAAAGACTTGGTATATATACATATAAAGGAAAACTCCAAAAACATTTACTTAAAAAAAAAAAAAGACAAATACCCCTTAAAGTGTATAGATTTAAATTTTTACAATTTACTGTTGATTAATATCATTTTTAATTAAGTTACTATATTAGTTAAAAATGTATTAATCAAGAATAAGATATAAAAATTCAGACTCATGCAACAATTAATTAAATTCACAAACGAAATCCTATTTCACATATGCTTCACTGTTAAAAGTAATTCTAAAAGCGACAAAAATGATCCAAGTCCATAATCTTTCTAGGGAAAATATAGCAAATAACATATTTTGTTGGTGCATTTTAATGCTATAGAATGTTTTTTTAAAAATTATTAAATAAAACCACATATGCGCTTTTTATTTTCAAATGAAATTCTCTCTTCCAATTTTACCCCTGGGGTTTTCTTTTCCTTTTTTTTCTTTTCTTTCCCACAGACACGCCTCTCTCTCTGGGCCAGTTTGGTAGTACTGTAAATTATGAAAAAATTGCTTTTAGCTGTGCTGAAGGAAAAATCAGCTGTTACAAAAAGCAACTGAGTGTTTGGTAAACTGTAATTATACAAGTGTTGCTTGTTCCAAAAGTAGTGTAATGGCATTTGGTAAATTATGAGATTGAATTGTTTTGAGTAGTTAAGATGACCGAAATTAATAATATTAAATTAATATATAAAGTAATTAATAATTGATAATTATTTAGCAAATAAAAAATAATATATTAATAATATAATAATAATAGATAAATTATCATTAATGAGTACTTTATTAATTAAACTATATATATAATAAATTAATATACTAAATAATTAAAAAGAGTAATTAGTAATTAATTATAAGTAAGTACTATGTTAGTAGTGCACTCATATACATTAGATTATATGTAATTAATTAATGTATTAAAAATAATTAGTATATATATAATTTATTAATATTGATAATTATTCTTTTTATCATGATTAATTACTAATTATCAATTATTAATTATTATTGATTAATATATTACATATTGATAATTATAATTTAATATTAATCATTAACTAAATAATTACTATTTATTTTTTATTTTCTAACTATTTACTAATTAATATATTATAATTAACATAATATATTATTGATATATTAATTATAAATTATTTATTTAATAACTTATTATTACTTGTTTTATCGTTAATATGTTATATAATTAATTTTTGAATATTAATCTTTAACTAAATAAATAATTACTATATTATTTACTATTTTATTAATATAATAAAAAACTTAATAGTAATAAATTAATATTTAAATAATAATTAAGTAATTACTATCTATTTATTAGTTAGTAAGTATATCTATATATTAATTATTAATTAATATATAATATAATTAGTAATTAATAATAAATTATTTAATGTAACTTTGTTGATAATCATTAATTGTACTATACTGATTCCTGCATAATCTAAAAGTTAAAGTTGCCTTTGGGATGCTTCTCATTTTGAGTGTAGATTCTTCAAAAATTCTTTAAAAATCACTTTTTATGGTTTTTACCAAACACCATTATCAACTTCTAATTGCTAGAGAAGTGATTTTGGGCTCTAAGAAATACTACCAAACGCACCTACTTTTTTGTAACTACATTTTAGTCAATAGAGCTTGATTAAGGCTTAGTTTGTTATTGCTATAGATTTTGAAAAAAATTATTTTTTGCTGTAAAAAAAGAAAAAACAGATGTTACAAAAAGCAGCTGAGTGTTTGGTAAACTATAATTATAGTAGGCGTACTGGTTCTAAAATCAGTGTAATAGCATTTGATAAATTATGACATTAAATTGCTATGGATAGATAAAAATAACGACTATATTATATTATAATATAATATATATAATTACAATATAATATATATTTATTA